TGCCTGGCGGTATAGTTGGTTTTGGGGCTAAGAAATCAGCTGCAGTCAGATCAAATATTGATTTCAGCGGGGCGGATCCAGATGAAGCTAAGGAAAAGTTTCTGACGGATCTCGTGGAAGCGTCATCTTGATTCAAACCCACAAGATATTCCCATGTTCCGGCAGGACTTCAGCGCGACAACTTTATCTGTCTGTCCAATAGTCTCAAATATGAGCCGACGCATTCTGGCTATTTGACAGGGGGCACCAGCCCAACTGGAAAACGTCCGTGTTGTTACAAGTGGCGTCGCAAAGGGAAAGCGTGTCAAATCTTAATGCACTTTGGCGACCATCAGATGGAATGGACGAAGAAATCTACAACTTGCAGGTTACTAGATGGATCAACTCCAACAATTCGCATTGACGATTTCTTGGCACCAGTTGGCACCGGTAGCAAAGGATTCTGAAGCCCAACAAAGACAGTCAGCAAAGGCATGAGTTCTGATAGGCCAATTCTCTGCCCAACTGTGGTTTCTCCGGTGTCTGAACATCTAGTGATCCACAATGTACATCTAGACCAGTGGCTTCAACCAAGAATCGCTGGTTTATATCACCCCACGATTGCCCTCCCAACATAACATCATCCACTTCATGACCCTACCTGTTGGATCGCAAAGCCCATTTCATTGTGTGCTTTTGTTTCCTCGACATGAGAAACATATTCCTAGCGAGATGGAAGAGTTGGAGCGCCCGGATTCAGAGATTTGCCGAACCTCCTCTCTTATGCGATTCTTGTGTGCCATGGTCATTTGGATCAGCTTTTCACAACATGTTCCAAACTCACTTGGCTTGAAGAGTGGTTGTTTTACTTTGAGTTCAAGTATGGTCGAACTGCCTGTAGATGGAAAGACTATGAGAAGAGGTGCAAGCCCTTGCAAAAGCCCCTTCAAAAATTCCTGCTGGAAAAGTTGTCACTTGAGCTTGGAACTCGAGACCAGTGGCGCATGTATGCTGCTTTTGAGGAAGATGCAAGGTTTTGTGATAGAAAGTGGGATAACTACTTCGATCCAATCACTGGTGAGAGAGTTGTGATGCATGATGCGGCCGGTATTCCTTTGCCATGCCCATCGAAGACAGAACTCCAACGAGCACTTTTCAGTGACTACTATGGTACGACGTGCGCCAAGGCAGGCGTCAGCAATCAACTTTGCGGGTGGATACGAGGAATGCCTCTCATGACTGGAAGAATCACAGATTCGCAAATGATTAAAGACTCAGAGGTACTGGTAGAGCAATGGAAGTTTTCAGAGGCCATACTTCTCCAAATGAACCATTCGACAATATATTTGACAAAGGATTCAGAAAAACGCTTGACGCAAGCATGGAGGGCCAACAATGTATGTAACTAACATACTCAAAAGGGGATTCTCAATTCACTGGAAATAATACTTTACACTCTGCTTGTATTGCTGTAATACGATCTGGAAATGAACGTGCTGTTCAACGCTGCAAGATGTCGTGGTACCTGAAACGTGGCTGTTCATATCAACAATGGGATATTGAATTATTTTGTGGCATTTGGGAAGCTTGGACATTTCAAGTGAACTCCATGCACGATTAATATCTCTAGACATTAGTTATCATAATTATACCTTATTTTGCCACCGTGGTTCTTAGTCCGATACATCTAAGTGGGGTACGATTGTTCTTCAATTTCTACTGATTTTTAGTGGTAATGTACTCGTTGTATTAAGCTTCTGTTTCATGGAACGTGCATATAAGGCGCCTTTGCCCATGGAAATCATGTTTCCCGTGTGGGACTTGAAATCTTCGTGTACCGCGAAGGCCATGTCGACCCATGTCTTCACTATTGTTAAATCATCGATCTTGATTGTTAGAGGCATGTCTATTGTACTGTCCAAATACGAGAGAACCCTTCGGAGTTTCCCCCAATCTTCTACAGAGGCCTTTTGTACCCGTCCTGTCAGAAACGCTATTGGGACCATGATATCTGGTCTGCATCGCTTTGTGACCCAAAGTAGTTTCTGGACGAGGGAATGCAAAAGCTTCCATTTGGGCTCAGGAAGCCTTTGCCATGTCCCACAAAAGGCTGAAGACTAACTTAGGCACAGTAGCGATTGAAAGATTGCTAAAGAGATATTATGAGCTTAATGGAGAACTACTTCCCTGGGCAGAACGCAATAGCCATACTGACATCAGAAGAGAAGGTGTGTACTGGAGACACACAACTTCTACTGCAGTCTTGATAAGATGTATTTGTCAGACTGTTGCCACCTCATTGCCACATCACTGTCGGCTCGTAGCATAGGTAATAGATGTACTCGACATTTGGCAAGATTGCTTTTGACAAGACTACTGTGGGCATGCTGAGTAAGGGGGCGTTTGTAGAAGTACTCATATCAGAGTAATCGATTTTCATTAGCCACCCAAGGTTATCCTCTAGATTCCAGAGGACCCGACGCAGGAGATAGAAGGGAACCTTGCAAGTAGGATGAAACCACTTCATCGTCGGTAAGGTTTGACTCGTCGTAAGGAGACGCGTTCAATTACATGAGGAGCAAGTCGAATGGTAAGGGTACCATTAGAGTTGAGGGTCGAGCTTGTTTGGCTTATAGCAAAGCTTTAGAACTTCCTGACGGGGCTGATAATCATAAGCAAATTGGCAACAATTGGCTCATATCAATTCTTTGTCAATGAGCTGTTGTCAATGTTGTTGAATGAGCTGAAGGTCAGCTTGCATTGGAAGATCTAGGATCATGTCATGGTGGAAGGCAAGTGATCCGGGCGTAGCGGTTATAGTTCCGTGATAAGAGCAGCGGTGTGCATACACTGCATTTGCAGTGGCAGTGTCAACTAATTGTTTGGCATCATTGATGTTGAAAGGGTGGTTCAGTGTAACCAATACTCTAAGAGAGTTACCAATAGTTTGATGCATCCGTTTGCAAACTGCATTTGCTTGAGGATTCTTGGCAGAGATAGAACGAGGTTCAATTCCGTGTAGATTCAAATGATTTTGAAAGTCGAATCCCGTGAATTCGGTTCCTTGGTCATGGATGACGGTTGCAGGGTGCAGGTAACGGGCAAGCCAAGCGTTTTCAAACTGAAGCGTTACGTTTGCACACGTTTTGTCCTTAATGCGCACAATTTTGACCAAGTTGGTCACTAGGTCAATGATTGTCAAGGCTCTGAACTCGATCTCTTGTCCTGCCACCATGAGTGTCCAAGGACCAATGAGATCAACTGCGAGTTGTTGCCAGGGTGACAGAAATAAATGAAAGTAGATGAATAGACTTAAAGCCTATAGTGCGACTGCTATTTCACAAGAAGATAAAGATCAATTCAGGTAAAACAACGTGCAGTGAGAAAAGCGATCGTTCATCACTTT